AATTGTTAAAAGATGATTTAATTAAAAAAGTTTATTATCACTAATATTCAAAAAATAAAGATTTCACAATTCAAATGTATTTTTTAAATATCATAATATAATATCCGTTATTATTATTTAATAATTATAAATAATATGAATTCAAAACACAAACACATTAAAATGTGAAGATAATGATATGTTTTAAAACACAAATATTTTTTAAATAATTATAAGTAAAATACTTGGTTTCATCATGTTTGTTTTGACAAAGCATACTTCACACTTTTTGTTCATTCATTTAATTTAATGCATAAACAACGCCACTCCCTTTAAAATACCAATTTTCATCTTAAAAGCCAAATGGTCTTTAAAATTGTTTCATTATTGTTTGTATCTTCATTGGCTTTGGCTTATGATATGTATGACTTTGAAGATGCACCACCTGGATATGACTTGAGACCAACAAGACAAAGACTCTTAACTCGATTAGAAGAAGGATTGAAACGTATGTTTGATAATTGTGATTATATCATTCATCGTATTACAATGAACAGAGGTGTCTTCAGTGATGGTTATGTAAGAAGCGTTGAGAGAATAATTGAGGCTGTTCGTTTGATGAAAGCCGAAGCAAATGTAGCCAAATCAAGAAACACAGATTCTGCAATGAATGAAATGTTATTAAATATCAACCGTATTCTTGAAAAAGAATCATTTGTAAGAAACGCAAAAGATGCTATTCGCAAAGGTAGACGTGTTGGAAGAAGAGCAAATGCTATTATTAGAGATCAGGTACATCTTGGAAGATTGATTACCTCCCTCAACTTAATGAATGGAATTGGTAAAGAACTGGTAGATATGTTCGAAGCTTTCAACACTGATAGATTTGTTTTAGTCAACAGATATTTTGCTGAACTTAAGTCTAAACTCAGACAAATTTGAAGATAATTGAATTCTTGAGTATTTTGAAGTTAAAAACAATTGAAAACAATTTTTTATTTTTGGTTGAAAAGTTGTTTTCTTGTAAATATAAAACAAATTTGAACAAAAGTTTTTTCAAACTTTTGTTGATATTTTTAACTTTTTTAAAAAACATTTGCAGGAACCAATTAATTGATATTATGATATTTCTTATGATGATTATATCATCTCTTGGAATAAAACCTGGGGAATCCGATTCGGGCGGGGCGAAAGAAGAAACTACACATAATAAGGTTGAACTTACAGAAGATTTTGTTGAGATGCTTAAAATATTTTTGGACTATTCAAAAAGGTATATTTTGGCACTAAAATTTTTGGAAAGAGAGACAAGAAGAACACCAAAACATTATAGTCCCAATTTGTATATAACAATAGGTGAAATGATTAGAGACGAAGAACTGTTTTTAAACTTTATTGAATTGGTTGTTAAAAACGGCAATGTTGACAAAATTGAGTATGAAAAATGGTTAAAATTGTTGTTTAAAATGTTTAATTTACACGAGGTCAAAGAATCTTATGGCAAATATCTTTTTATGCTCAACGAGAATATCAATCTGGTCTTCGATTCAAAAGTACTCACTGAACAACAAAAGAATAAAGCAGTGACAAGTCTTCTTCTCAACATGGAAATGTATGAAATGAAAAGGAAAATTCTGATGGATATTGCTCAAGTTTTGAACGAAAAAAGAAATCCATTATATCTAAGAGCACAAAACAAATTGGGAGATTTTATAGAAACCCTTTCAAAATACATTGACAGTGAAACTCATGCTAGAGAAGAACAACCTCATTTGTTGTTGCCAAAACCTCAAACACCTGAAACAACAAGACCACCAAGACCAATTTACAAAAACATCGAAAAGGGGAGAGAGTTGGAAAAACTTCTTAAGTTGCCGACTGAAGAAGAATAAAAAGAAAATATCAACAACCAAATCAAAAATTCCAGTCAAAGAACAAGGGAGAAGT